ACGTGTTGATCAGGTGTGTTTTCCTGTTCCTTCCAGTATCCTTCCCTGTCACTGTAGGGATTGAGGAAAACACTACCTGTGCTCCTGATCCTTCAACCAGTCGCCCCAGTGCCCTGAAACTTCTCTCTGCAACCTCATCACTGCCAGAGTCTTGCTTAGCTTTTTGGTTTCGGCAAATGACAAGCTATCCATAATCAAATCATTTATTCCTTCCCTAAACCCACCATTGAGTCTAGTGGAAGTTGGACCCAATCAGAGGTGGATAACTCTGTACCTCTTGCCTGTGTGAGCAAGTAACTGGCTTCAATGGAGTTCACATATAAGGGGAAAAAAACCCAAAACAAAACCAGACTTATTTGTCCTCACTCAGTTGCACTATTTTTAAGCCACTTGCTGATCATGCTGTGTGGAAAAAGGCAGTAATGAGATATTGAATCAGATTTTATAGTTTCCAATTTCACTAAATATTTCAGAGCATTCTCCTAGGCATTGCTTTAACTCACTCTCTCTCTCTCAGATGCCTGTGCTATGCAGGTCAAGTTTAAAATCAGTACGTGTTCTGTTTGAGTAATATTTTAGCGCTCAAAAGAAGAGCCATGCATACTAAGCAGCTGTATTTAAGTACTGTAGGGCTTTGAAAACCACATCTTCAAAAAGGAAGATTTTTCTCATCTGTTGTCATCTCAAATAATTTCCCCACTTAGAAAGCTCGACAGTGCCGGCAGAAGTAGACACAGAGCTTCACTCCTGTCATTGAGCTCACTGAAAGCAGTGGGACTTTCTAGGCATGGATGTCTTTGCATGATTTAGATCTCCAAGGCTAGACCTTACAGAGTGCTCACTCTTTGATACGGTACTTTGGAGAGAAATGTTTCTCGTTGTAGATCTAATCCAAAGCCAGCTGAAGTAACAGAGGAAGATTTGGTCCAAGAACACTTCTCTGCAGACTGTTTACTCCTTGATGATCCTAAATGACATGGATGCCTTTTTTTAACTGATGCTTACATTTCAGACAGAGTGGGAAGGCTGTCAAATGCGCTCGCTTCTATTCTCTCCAGGGAGTCGCTCTGAGAGATTTCACTATAATGAAAAAGGCAGACACAAAGCAATACATTAACAGAAAAGAGACCAGAAATCAGCTTTCCACTTTGTATTTCCTTCTTTTATACATAGTTCTTCAGCTCCCTGAAGCAATTCTTGTTTGGCAGCAGTGTTTATGCCTCACCTTAGGCGTCGTAAGAGCGGGTGCCACTAGGGTTTGAGAGAGACCAGCCTTTTGCTGTCTTGGCAAAGGGGTATGCCAACACTTTGGAGTAAGTATCTCCGTAACAGCCAATCTCCCATTTTCTCAGTAAATTGTAGGTGAGGTAGCGACTCAGAGCCAGAACTAATGTAAACAGAGCGAGCCCAAGCCTGTGAGCCTTTTGCTCCTATCGTCAGTGCTGCTTAGTGAATTTATTTGCATGGGCAAGGATGTAGATAATGGTCATGGTACTTCATACACTATTATTAAGTCAGGGTGATGGTCATCTAATCCACAGATGTAGAAATACACAAATATGCATTCAGTGCACTTTATGAATAATTTTTGGATTTAAATGCCATTTTCATTACACGCAAACTGAAAGGAAGTGGCTCTTTCTCATCGTTACACCGACCAACATGACTGTTTTTGTAGGCACTGTTGGATTTTGATGTACTGCTGCTCCTATTCCACACATGTAGTTAATAACCAATGCTGAATATAGGAAAAAAAATCCACTTATTTGACGCTTGCTAAATGCCTGCTAAATTAAGATTTATGAGGCTACACAAAATTGACTCCTGAAAGTAAATAGTATATATCGATGCATATATAGGGGAAAGGGCTTCAAAACAGTATTTTCTCCTGACAGAATTGACTGGAAGGGCACACAAACTAAACGTAAGATTATACATTGTCAAGAAAAAAAATATTTTCTAAACAACTGGAACGCATCTACAAAATCAGAGTCAGTATTGTCACAGTCCTGAGAGTTACCTTATTTCAATTATAATTATGAGAAAACAATTCCTATTGGTGTTGATACAAAAACCCTTAGACCAGAATGGTTTTTTTCATTTGTAGTGGCAAAGGGGGATGCACACTAGAAATCATATGTTAAAGATGTATGTATTTCTTACAGAAATAGTAATGATTTTTTCCATAATCAGAATTCAGTGAGATTGTTATTTTTGGTATTGCACTAGTTACTCATAAATGAAAGAGGGATGTAGAACAAGTAGCCTGCTGGGCGCCTGATCCTCAGTGTCTCACGGGCTGGGAGGGATCAGTGCCTGTTTGCAGAACTTAAAGACTCTTTAAGGTCTGGGGTCTGAAACATGGTCCTTCCGTGGAATCCCTCCTGTCTGCCACTGGCTTACCATTTACATATGTCGGAATGACTTACGGCAGTGAGAATAATTTATCATCTGATTTGCAGATGGTGATGAGTTGCCAAATAGATGATTTAGAGATTTATAATTTAAAAATATGTATTTTTCAAAGTAACACTAAATCTCAAAAAAATTATGAAGTGTTCTATAGATTTACTTCAGACAAATACATGGATACACTGTTAATTTGGAGAGATACATTAAAAGGACACAAAGAAATCAATTAAATTCTCTTCATGGAAGGGAAAATGTCAATGAAAAAAACATTCTCTGTGAAGAACAGGATATGCATACAGTTTGGGAAAGTTTAGCCTCAAGTCATATAGGTAGGAGAAACTTTGTAGATTTAAGTTGGTCTCCCATCTGAAAATGATAAGTTCTCATTAATCATTCAGATGCAAGTGAATGCAAGAATACAGTGCCACTGGATTGTACTGTAGTACTTTATTGCAATGGAATACGTGCAGCAGAGTCTACCTTATTTTCTACTTGCTAGAGCTACAGGAACATGTAAGTTTATAATTTGGCCAAAATTGTTTAACCAATGAGCACTAAAAGCTAAACTAGTCCAGTTCAGTCTATTCAGGCATTTGCATTACCCTCATCCTTCAAGTCTTTGCCTTCAAGAATGTACCATGAAAAGGTTTCCTACCTTCTCTTTTTGTTTCCTTGAAAATAAATTATGTAACATCCAATATATATTTTAATACCTGATGCACTATGTGCTTTATGTAGGTGAAGAGAAGTATAAAAGGTGCACCTTAAAAAGAAAGTGGCATCATTTGTGCTGCTGCTTAGGTTCTGGGGGAGGTCATTCCCCTGTTCTGCATTGCACTGGTGTGTCATCGACTTTGTCCTTTCGAGACCACTCAATGCAGATAAAATAAAAAGTAATAAATAATGGAGACTCAAGCCTGCCATCTTTCAGCTGGAATAACAACAAAAATAAGGACAAGAGTGGTCAGATGAGCCTTATGGTCTGAGTCCTTGATATAAAATAGGTACAAAGTCAAGGGAAGGGAAGCAGCACAGACCCGGTGTGCAAAATTACAGCACTTGTAAACAGAAAGATATGAGAAAGGGTTCAGTCCTACTGATCCCCTGCCAAGCTTATCTCTTGATGCAAAACGCCAAAGAAATATCTTATTTGGATATTACATAAAAGTATAATCACAGAATGCCATAGCTATCATGGGAGTGATAATGTTTTATGATAGAAATCTATCTCCTATGCCAATCAAAAGCACCTACCATCAGTTATTAAGCTGATGATATCACATATTTCATTACGTGATCTGTTAAACAACTGTTGAAAATCATACCTTTTCAAAGATTCTTTTATATACTGCTTATAAGAAAAGAAATGCTATGTTTATCCTTCCCCAGTGGGTTTTTTTCACCAATAGTATGTTTTAGCAATGCATTTTCGCGTTATTGTAAAACGATGTTATTTGGGATGGAAGTTTATGATAGAATTTCTAGCAACAAATTAAGGAAAAGGCTATGGAAAATGTTGTCAACTTACATGATAAAGGCGTCTCTAAGTCCTTCAAACGCATGTGATGGGATTACTTTTACAGGCAGGTGAGTAAATGATCTGAAAAAAGAAGAGAGGGAGGAAAGGATTGTAAGGCATGGGGTTTCTCTGTTTACAGATTGTAGCATTACGGTGGGCAGAAAAACAATAAAGCATAAAGCCACTTCATTTTGCCTGCAGTTCTCTGTACCTCTGGGGCCTGATCCATTTACCATTGATCTCAGCTAAACAGAATTCAAAGGATATTGGGTCAGTTCCTCAACAGCATAAATTTGAGACTTATCACCATCAAGTCAATAATAATCATAACCTATTAAGTAAATTAATAGCCTGATGGAAGTGGTCTGCTACATTCACAGTCAAAGGAAGCTATAGGCTATTTAAAGTTAGTTCCTCAGAAAAAGTGGCTTTCATGTAAAGCTTTTTCTCTACAAAACAGTATCTTCGCGTTCTCTGGACCACGTTCTTCTCTCAGCAGTATCCCTGTAATGTTGCAGCGTGGCACCCTGAATTCACCGGCAATGCTCTGCCTATGTACAAGTGTAGAAGAGATCCAAATCAGGCCTGATGTGGTGGATTTCCCCTCCCCCCAATAAATTGCATCAGTGTGGTTAGTTGATTAAAAGCAAATGTATCTTTTTCTTTGTAATTTTTTAATTACTCTGACTGAGAAGTTAATGATGTGGGAGACAGATCTGCATTTTACCATTCTACTTCATATCTGAATCACAGTACTTTTACCAGCCAATTTATCTAGCCATGACCACACTCTCCCTGATAATGTCCACAGGAAAATATTTAATGTATTTCAAGGCGTTATCTCTGTGCAAACACATAATCGCTCCATTTTGCTTTATAATTACAAATATCTAGTCAGAGACATTTGTTTCCCATCTTTAACCCCCCCCTCAAGGCGTTTTCACTGAAATGTTTCCATGCTATTCATATAACCTGCTTTTTTTTCTTTGTTGTCATAATCCTTTATATGAAGACAATTAAAAATGTTCATCAACTTTTATATATACATATATGTGTATTTTATATATATACACATATGTCATGCCCACACAATATAATGGCAGGCTGTAACACATACGTATGTCTTGGGGTTACAAATCTAGATGTGCTAAGGAGCCTGGCAGTCAGTTCCTAGCTACATTCCAAATAGTCGGTATGATTTGGGGCAAATCATTTAGTTTCCTTGCACCTTGACTCCCTGCCAGTAAACTGGGAATAACAGTGCTTCCCTACCCAATAGGGATGTTGTAAGGATATATGTGTTTTTGACACCACTGTGATTGGGTCATACCTGTCTCTAGATGGATGCTGACGTGTTGCGTGTGAGGTTTGGTTAAATCAGAAATGAAACTAAAAGTCACGTATCTTGAAAAATGTATTTGCCCCTTAGGGGACAGACAGGTAGAGGTAATCCTGCAGTGGGCCTTGATTCTCTGAGCCAAAAGGAAGACAACTTCAGGAAGAACTAAAAAGTAGAAGCTGAGAAATTACTGCTCTATAACCCTGGCAGCAAGGAACCTCTTCAGAACTGCACCATCAGCTGGGGCTGCTTGCAAAATAAAACATACCTTTTGCAAAAAAATGTTGTCATTTACAAAAGAAATAAAAATGTGACTGAAAGCGCAAGGAATAAAACCAGATCTTGGCTCTTAATTACATCAAACTCTTCAGCCCAAGAGCCTCCTACCTCCCGGCGATGTGCCGGTGAGCAGCGTGATGGTTGTAAATTCCCGTAACGTGTGGCTCGGAGTGACCCGCTCCCCTTGCCTGCAGAAAGCCTTTGGCAACGGTGCTCTGAGCTTAGCCACTTCAGCTATGCGATTAAATTTAAGTGGGATGACCCAGCACTTTTAATATGTACTGTAGTTAAACTGCATGACGGCACTTAATCCATTCTGTATTTCAACTTCATTGGTTTGGGTTTTTAATTCTCGTGAGTTCACCTTGATAGCTGGAACTGTGAACTCATCTGCACTGACATTACCTCGTCCCATTAAGCATCTCACAAAACAGCAAGAACAAAGGAAAAAGGCAATTCATAATCAGCCTTCTCTCTTACTCCTCGGAATACTGGTGTAGCACACAGACACTTCCACATCGATAAAGATATCTTAAATTCACCAAAAAGGTGAATGTTCCCATCCCTATTCTTGTCCACTTTACCTTTGTGGTTTGTATTTCAAACCCTGCCTGTGTTAAAGGGAAACATCTTCATTTAGATGTCTCCTTCTATACTCAAAACATTTTGAAGAAGATCCTTTACCTTGCCGAGCGCAATCCAGCCTGTGTATATGTATGAGCCTTTAGGTTAATAGAGTTTTGAACTGCTTGTTGCAGGCTTAATTCTTTCCAAAGCCCAGAGTAAAGCGAGGCCTTATCTCATGTGTTGAAGTCTCTGCTATTGAATATGACTGATGTCTTTGATAGCACACAATGAAACTCAAGCAGGTACTGGCAGGAATTAAATATTGATTTCTTTCTGATAGCACTCAGATTGTGACACTCAGATGTGACCAGTTATTCATCTCTCACCGCTGTGGAAGCTTTTGACAAAAAAAGAAAGAACAAACTGGGTTTTACAAAGCCACAAAGCTTTTATACATCTAACTTGCCTATGCTGTAGCCTGACTTCTATAGCTCATGAAAGGAGGGACGCATCCATCTCTAATACAAGTTACACACCAGTTT